AGTATAATTCCTAACTGCATTCTAAATACTTACCGTTATACCCACAGTTAAGTATAGCCCTTACTCCTCATCAAAGAAATCAGAAAATCATAGCTGATTAAAATACATAAAACTGATAGTGGAGTGCCAGAACCTATCTACAACACAACTCCTGCACCTAAGGCTCAGGGAACATTGTGAAAGAGGGAACAGAAAGATTCTGAGAGTGAGAGAATTTGAGAGTTTGCTGTTAACATAGGTATACAGATGCTCATTAAAGAAAATAGCATGATTTTTCCAAATTTAGAGAGACATTCAAATGCAAGAGGTATTTAGAACCCTAAGTAAACACAACCAGAAGAACCTCTCTGCAATGCATTATCATATTAATAAATTGTAGTCGAGGTGTCAAAAATATAAAGTCAAGGGGCTGGAGAGATTACTCCATGCTCCATTTGCTCATGGAAAAGACCCAGGTTTGATTCCAAGCATCAACATGGTGTCTCACAACCATCTATAACTCTAGTCCCAGGAGATCTTACATCTTCTTCTGGTCTCCATGAGCAATAGGCATACACATAGTCCAGAAACACACATGAAGACTAAATATCCATACAAATAAAATAAAATTAAGGTTTTTTTTGTTTTTGTTTTTTTAAAGAGCAGAAATATGCCTGGCTGTGGTAGCACATGCCTTTAATCCCAGAACTTGGGAGGCAGAGGCAGGTGTCTCTGTTGGTGTTCAAGGCCAGCCTGGTCAAAGTGGGCTTGAGGACAGCCAGGGCTACACAGAGAAACCCTGCCTTAAAAAATTTAAAACACCAGCAACAACAAAAAACCAGTGCAAATACACTTTATCAAGCAAACAAAAACAAAAAAAACCAAGTTGGTGTAATTATTTTGATTATCTGATAAAGTAGACTTTCAACCAAAATGAATCAGAAGAGACAAAGAATACTACAAATTAATAAAAAGGAGCAATTCCTCAGGAAGATGTAAGGACCAGTCCACCTGTTCATTCATGCAGTCACCCACCTCTCCTAAGCTCTAGAAAGCAATGAGAGCCACTCTGCAGAGGCATCTTCTGAACATGAGGAGGTGAGGAAGACATCTGGACTGTCAGCTGGTCCAAAGTTCTATAAGCAAAGAACTCAAAAGCTATTCCTGACACCACAACGACACTTCTGATTAACACTGAAGAGCTACCGGGATTCTACCTGGCTCAGAGCAGCCACATATCTATTCATTCTAGACTGCCAAGGATAGATATGTAGAAAAGGGAGCACCACCATATGGAGAACAATAACTATCTTGAATGTTCAAGGCATGTCTAACAGACTCAGGTACCCTGCTGATTGCCTACACCTCTCTTGAGGGGCATTAGTGATTGCCCAGTATCCTTGTTCAACTTGGCTGGGGACATAGAGCCAGCCAGCTGGAACCGAAAAACTCATACTATAAAAAGACTCACCTGGATTCCACCATCTTCCACGGAAAGGGCATGGAAGGAAGGCTTTCTCGAAGATGCAGATAAGTGTGATGATGGTAGAGGGGGCAAGGGAGTGGCATTATTACTGTAAAAGTATGAGTGCAGCCAAGCAGGGAGAGAACACTAAGGTCTTATCTCCTGGGGCATCCACATGAGAAAATACTCTACGCCAACACAAAATATGCTACCATGAATGCAGGTTACAGAACATGGTTTCACTGCCCACTAAAGAAAGAAACAACTGGAAAAAAAATCAGCCACAGGAGACAGAGACAGGGGGAGGTAGGTGGATATGGCAGAAAGTGAGGAATTAAGATAAACACAATAGGGACTAGAGCGATGGCTCATCAGTTAGGAGCATTTGCTGCTCTTATAGAGGACTAGACTTCAGTTCCTAGCACCATGCCTTTAATGTAACTATAGCTTCAGTGAGATCAGAAGTCTCTGGTTTTTGTAGGCACTTGCTTGCACACATGCACGCACACTGAAAGAATGGAGAAATACAGCCCAGCTCTCCCATGACTACAAAAAACTAGAAGTCAAAAAAAAAAAAAAAAAAAAAAAAAAAGCCCTAAATACCAAACCCGGTCCCCTGGTGGCAACTAGGCAAAAGGTCACATTCTTTGCTATTTAGGACAGGACATGTGAGTACGTGAGCTTTGTCACCCCACCAAGGAGCATCTGACTGGTCTATAAAGGGGGGGGGGGGCGCCTTGGATGGTTTAAATTGATTGGTCTGCACTGCGCAGGCTCTGGATGCTATGAGATAATTGGTTTAAGATGCGCGGGCTTTGCTGTAATCCTATAAAAGCTATCTTACTTCTGCCCTCATGATCCTCGGTCCTCTACTCCTGCGTAGCATATGACTGTGGACCCCAGTGCACTTGGAATATAAAAGACCTCATGCTTTTACATCAAGACTGCTTCTCGTGAGTGATTTGGGGTGTCACCTTTCCTGAGTGGGAGCATGAAGGTCCACGCTCTGCGGGTCTTTCAACACTACTTAAAATAATAAATCTTTAAAAATCTCTATGAACTGCTGGTCAAAGTGACAACTTCTGTAGCCAACATGGAAATCAGTGTGGAGGTTTTCCAAAACACTGAAATAGAAATGCCGTATGTCAGGGCAGGAGAAATGGCTCAGCAGTTAAAAGCACTGGCTGCTCTTCAGATGACCCAGGTTTAATTTCCAGTTCCCATATGGAAGCGCAAAACTGTGACTCCAGTTCTAGGGGATCTGGCACCCTCACACAGATATACACATAGGCAAAACACCAATGCACATAAAAAGTAAATCTTAACAAAAAAAGAAAATAGCTAAGAAATACAACTGTCCTATATATCCATTAACATAACAAAGAAAACATGCTGTATATACACATACATGAAATGGGATTTTATTCATTTGTAAAGGAAAATGAAATGATACATTTCTAGGAAAAATGTTGCAGAATATTCCTTTACACTGTATGAAGATGTGTTAATGTGACTGGTCTGATAAAGAGCTGAATGGCCACTAGCTAGGCAGGAAGAGGTTAGGTGGGACTTCTGGGAACAGAGAAGACACGGGAGAGGAGGAAAGATGGAGTCACGAGCCAGATGCGGAGGTGGCAGGATGGGCACTACAGAGTAAAGGTAACCAGGACATGTAAAAGAACACACATTAAAAAACGTGGGTTAATTTAAGTTAAAAGAATTAGTTAGGAACAAGCCTATGCTATAGGCCGAGGTTTTATAATTAATATTAACTTCCCATGTTATATTTTGTGAGCTGGCAGCTCAAAGAAAAATCTGATTACAGACAAAAATATATTTAACTGGGATTCATTATGCAAAAACTCCAAAATGTCCAAGATAAATACCAGGCTTCCCCTCATAAACAGAACACACACTTAAAATTATGTGTGCATTAAAACTAGAAAGGAGATCGTGAGGGAGGATGGGATTGTGAAGAAAGTGGGAAATGTGGGTAATGAAATACAAAAACAGAAGAAGGGCTTTCTGGAGGAATAAAGGAAACATCTAGGTGCAAGAGGGAGTAAAAGAAGAGGACAAATGAGCATAAAGTATAAAGAAACAAATATATATAGATGCCATGATGAGACACATTACTTTGTATACAAATCCAAAATTAACAACAACAAAAACACAGGAGTTTATATCATTAAAAACTAAAAATATAGCCGGGTGTTGGTGGCGCCAGCCTTTAGTCCCAGCAATCGGGAGGCAGAGGCAGGCAGATCTCTGTGAGTTCAAGGCCAGCCAGATCTACAGAGTGAGTTCCAGGACAGCCTCCAAAGCCACAGAGAAACCCTATCTTGAAAAACCAAGAAAAAAAAAACAGGAAAATACAAAATCCACAAACCCAAACAACAAAACAAAGTGAAACAGAGAGCCTTTCTGTTCCCAACTACTTATCTCTATCAACAAGGCTTTTAGATTAGACGCACAGTGAAAGAAGGTAAGCCATAATAGGACCTACTTTCCATTTTCATAATAATCACCACTTGATGAGGGGCACATGAGATACACCAAGCATTTCTCAAGGTGGCACAAGACAGTAGTTAATAAAGGATGTGAAAGCTAAGTATAGCTCAAAGGTAGCTCACAGGCTTCCATTCACAATGCCTTCTAATACATCTGCAGTACAGTAAGAGCAGGTAGTGAGAAAGAATTGTAAGATAGTACATATATTTGTAATCTCAGCACTTGGAAGCTAAGACAAAAAGACTATGGGTTCAAGGCTATAAAGGGAGATCAGCTGAGCAGGTCCTGGGTCCACAGTTCAGTCTCTCAGGAGCTCGGAGGTTAATTAATTTACGTAAGGGAACCAATGAAACACACACTGGAACTCAGGACATGAAAACAGATGTTTGGAGGACTCTGACAATGACCTTGAACTTTTTCCTCCTTTTCCACATTCCAATTGTTGGGATCACAGGAAAGCACACATCTTTAATCCCAGCAGTCAGGAGGCAGAGGCAGGTGGATCTCTGAGGACAGCCTGGTCTACAAAGTGGGTTCCAGGACAGCCAAGGCCGCACAGAGCTCCAGGCACACATGTGGTTCATACATGCAGGGAAACACACATAAAAACAAAATCAATAAACCTAATTTTAAAAAAAAATAGGTTGGTTTTTCTGGTTTATGCGTGGGTTTTTGTTGTTATGTTTTGGGACAAGGCGTCATCATGGAACTCTGGTACCTTTCTCTTTATTTTGAGAGGGGACCTTACACTGTAGTACAGGCTGGCTATGAGCAACTCAACCTGCCTTGGCCTCTCAAGGGCTAGATTCCTACTTGGGTTTAAGCTAGATTATGTACAAATACATAGCATAGAAAGAACAATAAAAATGATTAGCATAGTAAAATATCTTGCACGTAAGCATTTAACCATACAATCAATGAATTCTTTGGCATAAATTCCTAGAAGTAAAAACACAGCTTGGATTATATGACCAATACAAGGATAATATGCTTTGCCTAGCAATTTTCCAAGAAAGTGAACCCACTTTGCATTAGAGAAGCTCACCTTTTGGGCCGAGGCAGGCCCATTGGGGTAAGGTTGGGATCTGGTTTAGGAATGGTTTTTCGGATTCGAATCTGTGAGACTTTCTTTGGTCTCTTCTCTGGCTCGGCCTGTTTTTAAAGGTTAAAAATAAAGATAGGCAAAATGTAATTCATTTTAAAATACAGCACTTATACTGAAAACATTGCTCCCTCGGTTTATATATAGCCTGGAAAGTAGCTAATGACAAATTTGCCCTTCCTACTCTAGCTGCGTGCGTTTTCAGTTACTGCTCCTTCATACATTAAGATGAAGCTGAACAGTTCCAATTGAGATAATCAACTCAAAGTCTTCAATCAGTGGAGACAGATGATGCTGTAAACGGAAGGACACCATCATTTACTCATCTTTCAAAGTGACTCCTAGGGCCAACGCTCCTATAAATATTCTCTAATGATGCTGCTAAGAAAAATGGATCTGGAAAAAAACAATATGGATTAAAATACCTAAGCTCCAGGCTGGAGAGATGGCTCAGAGGTTAAGAGCATTGGCTGCTCTTCCAGAGGGCCTGAATTCAATTCCCAGCAACCATATGGTGGCTCACAACCATGTGTAATGAGATCTGGTGCCCTCTTCTAGCAAGCAGGCAGATATACAAGAAGAATACTGTATTCATAATAAATAAAATCTAAAAAAATAAAATAAAATAAAACAAGATACCTAAGCCCTGCCTGGTAGAGTAGGAAGACAACTTGAATCCAGGAGTTGGAAGCCAGGAAGGAGAAAACAGTAAGATCCCATCTCTGCAAACAGACTGAAATGACGGGAACAGCCCCATAAAAACCCACCATATCCTTTCCTGGCCAAGGCCTAGGCCAAGCAGAAAACTTCCTACCTTAGTACTTCCAGCTACTGAGCCAAGACTAGAGTCAACAATGGAAACCCCAATGCCACCTCCACTCAACAGTCTGGTACTCCGCACTTACCTCTTTCTGTTCTGCAGAGCTGCTCTGTGGTCGGGGGCATGCTGCTGACACATCATCCAGCTCATCAAACCCCGGGACCTGGAACTCGGAGGCTGACAGCAGGAGCTTGCTGACAGCAGGCTCTGTTACCAAGCAAGACTTTGGCACCAAGGCAGGGAACACAGGCTCTGGCCTAACACCAGGAGACAGAATGAAGATAAAACCTGTAGAAGGTTTGCTTTCTACTTCCAGCAAGCATACATTTTTATTTAGTTTTTCTGTACAGGTGTGTGTCCTTGTGTGAGTGAAGACTAGAAGACAACCTTCAGACAATGAGCTTCCTCGGCTGTCCCATCCATTTCGTTTGAGATGGAGTTTCTCATTGGCTTAAAGCTCACCAAGCAGTCTAGGATGGCTGGCCAGTGAGCCTCAGGACCTGCCTGTCTCTGCTTGCCTGCATACTAGCATTACAAGTGTGTGCCACCCTGCAGGCTTTTGATGTGGGTTGTGGGGGATGAAACCCAGGCCCTCATGCTTGCAAGGCAGGCAACTGACCGACTGAGCTGTTTATCATCCCAGCCTATATTATTTTTCAGCATATAGAGTCTTCTTTCCAGGAATGATATCTACAGTTAACCTGTTTTCTAGTTACTTCTAGACACAACCTGGGTCTACACATGTGAAAAGTTACAAGAATGTGGTCAGTTCTTTCCAGTGGTTAGAGCAGTTTTATAAAGAAATGTGTTAAATGAGTGGAGACGCTGAGAAGAAACTTGGTGAATGGACAAATGAACAATGCTCAAATGACATCAACACCATTCGGGGACTAGGACTGAGGCTGATGAAGTGGCAGGACCCAGAACAGCTTGAGATACTAATAAACTGGCTAATGACTTTTTTTGTTAAGCAAATGGTGCCAATTATACAACTCCACTCTTCATTATTTGATATAAAGCACAACTGAATCTCAGAGATGTTTATCTGAGACCTATAAACAGTCAGATTAATAAGAAGTTAGAGTTGTGTCATGCCTGACCCATACTACCTAAGAACACTAGAATAAATGTATCCCCCCCTGCCCTTCATCACACGCCCACCCACACTTCACGCCCATGTGCCAAGGCTTACCTCATGTGACTGCTGTTGGTGTTGTGGATAGCTTCCATGCCTGGAAGAGGCACATTTGGTATGGTGGTGTGGCTGAAGTAAAGCACAAGCATAAAGCAGCAGGTTATGAGGGTGGGACAACAGCAAAGGCTGTGGCGTTACTGGAGGCACTGCACCATGATGGAGGCCAAGGAACAAGAGCCTCCTAACTGTGAAACCATGCTGGCTGGAAGTAGGCTAACAGGAAGAGTACTTCCTAATTTAACTCAGAAAAGTGTCCAAGAAAGTAGAGGACAGTAAAAGAAATGACAGGAACGAGAATGATTTGGGGTCTTACACCTTTTGATTAAGTTGGTAAGCACACGCTTTAAGGTTCCTTAAAAAATTTAAACATAAGGAATAATAAGCTGGCTCCAAATGCGCAAGAGCTTGCCAAACCTCATCACCTGAGTTCAAACTCTGGAAATCACAGGGTGGAAGAAAAGAATGGACTCCCCAAACCCTGCTGATTTCCACATGCACATCACGACACATGTGTACTCAACATACAACACACATACAACAGACAAATGTTTGTGAAAATTAGACACAAACCTATCTTGTACATATAAAAGAACCAAATACAACAACAAAGATTCTACATAAGCACCCCAGCACCAGGGAGTACACAGACAATAATGAGCTCAAGGTCATGCTAAGAGTCAGAAGCCAGTCTGAACAACATGAGACCCTGTCTCAACAAAACAGAAAAATGGGACAGGCAGGATAGCTTAGCAGGTAAAGCACTTACTGCCTGACAATAAAAAATGGCAGCCTGAGCTTGATTCCCGGAACCCACACAAAGATGCAAAGAGAGACCAACTCCAAAACTGTTCTCTGACTGACTCTCTCTCCCTCTCTACCTACCTACCTACCTACCTACACACACACACACACACACACACACACACACACACACACACACACACACACACACACACACACACACAGTGGGAGACAATACCTTATGGAAACTAAGTTGATTTAAGTATTGTTTTCAGGGCTACTTAATTATTTTGCTGGCAATAAGTGAGGTATTTTGTTTGTTTTGCTTTTCCAGGAAGGGAAAGGGGTTTACCTTCTCTCTCTCTCTCTCTTTTTTTTTTTTTTTTTTTTTTTTTTTTGTGTTTTGATTTTTTTTTTTTTTTTTTTTTTTTTTTTGATACAAGGTGTCTGTGTAGCTCTGTTCTGACTGTCCTGAAACTCAATCTGTAGACCAGGCTGGCCTCAAACTCAGAGATCTGACTGCCTCTGCTTCCCAAGCACTGGGATTAATGGCTTGTGCCACCACACCCAGCTCATCTGTAAGTTTTAATAAAGCAATAAAAAAATTAAGTGAGCTTAGGCGTATGATTTTAAGTCATTTTTAGAGTCAAGGAGTAAAGTGTACAACAACACTTGAAATAAAACAAAATCCTGAGTTCCAGGCTACATATGTATAAGAGACTATTTCCAAAATGAAAAACAAGTAAATTTATATAAAATAGAAAGCTTCACATAGAATGTAGGAAACAAAAATATTCTAGGAAGTACAAAGACCAGTTGATAAAGGGGTCTGAAAGAGAGAAGGTGCCTAGGCTCATACCCTGAATACTAACACAGTGTATATACAATTAATAGTTAAATGGTCATGATGGAAGATGTTCTTCTGTATACATGTTCCTCTTATTGGTGGATGAATAAAACACCAATTGGCCAATAGCTAGGCAGGAAGACAGGAGGGGCTACCAGAGCAGGAGAAAACTGGGTGGGGAAGGCAGAGAGAAACTCCATGTAGCCACCCAAGGAGTAACAGGTCCGGGCATTCTCCAGTAAGCCAAGACTACATGAAAATACATATTTGAATAGTTATAGGTTAATAATTAAGAGAGAAGTAGCCAGTAAGAAGCCTAAGCCATCAGCAAAACAGTATAAAAATTAATATAAGGCACTGTGTGTTTATTTGAGGCTAATCAGCTGCAGTATCAGGCTGGAAAGAAACTCTAGCTACATGGTCATACCTGTAATCCTAGCACTTGGGAGGTGGAGGATCAGGAGTTCAGGGCCACTTTAGTGAGTGGGATGAAGGGGATACAACACAGTTTAAAGCTGTGTTCCGCTGGATTATAGCACAGAGCAATTATGACAATTTACATACTAGAAGCAGACCAAAATATTAAATACAAGAAGTATACCATCATTTGAAATAATCTGATTCTATCTAACTATCTACCTACCTATCTATCTATTTATTTATTTATTTATTTATTTTGGTTTTTCAGGACAAGGTCCCTCTGTGTAGCCCTGGCTGTCCTGGAACTCATGTAGATCAGGCTGGCCTCAAACTCACAGAGATCCACCTGCCTGCCTCCCAGGTATTGGGATTAAAGGTGTGTGCCAATACTGAACAGCATCATTTAAAAAATTTTAAACACATTTATATATTTGTGAGCTCACTATGTGTATATCATGGCATGTGTGTGAAGGCCAAAGGACAACTTGACGTTTTTCTCCTTCTACTATGTGGGTTCCAGGAATCCAACTCAGGTTGTCAGGCTTGGTGGCTTACTCACTGAACCATCTTGTCAGCAGACACCCTGCTTACTTATTTGTGAATTCAATAATTTTACATAGCTGGTGTGATGGCACACACCTTTAGTCCCAGCACTTGGGAGGCAGGTAGGTCTATGTGAATTCGAGGCCAGCCTGGTCTACATAGTGAGTTCCAGGATAGCCAGTGCTACAGAGAAACTTGCCTTGAAAAAGACAAAATAAATAAATAAATAAATAAATAATTTGCGCATATGATTGTTTGCATGCATGTATGTATGTATGCATGCATGTATGTATGGCATGCTGTACCCACAGAAGCCAGGAAAGGTGTTGTATTCTTGGGAACCAGAAATACAGGACTAGAGTTGAGAGAAACTAAACCGGAGTCCTCGTAACTGTCGAGCCATTTTCCCAGCCCCTTTAATGTGTTTTTGAGACAACACCTCACTCCTTAGCCCAAACTGGTCTTGTAATCTTGCCTTAGTAGCTTGGCTTTGAAATATTAGATTCTGGGTGGGTTTGATTTGATTTGAAGTATTATTATAAATTTCAACAGTAGCTGGGCAGTGGTGGCGCACACCTACAATCCCAGCACTTGGGAGGCAGAGGCAAGTGGATCTCTGTGAGTTTGAGACCAGCCTGGTCTACAAATGAGATCTAGGACAGCCAAGGCTACACAGAGAAATCCTGTCTAGAAAAACCAAAAATAAGTAAGTAAATATAAATAAAATTCAGCTGCGGCAGTAGTAAGAGCAATTAAAAGAGTTATGTAACAATTCTTTGAGGATTGTTTTCATTGGGGGGGGGGGGGTTTGATCCCAACATCGTAACTCAGGCTAAGCATGCACTCTACACAAGCTATATTCTCACCTTCTAGAAACTCTAATAGAACAAGAAATTTTAAATCTTATGTTCCTTCCTCCTTTTCTCTCTGAGCTGGACTGAACTTAGGGCCTTATACTAACCAAGCAAACATCCTACCTTTAAGCTACACCCCAGTCCAGTCCTCTTCTACTTTCATTTAGAAGGTAGACTAATAGTGATCAAATTATTTTTCCCTATCCCCAACAGTGAGATCATAAGAACTTCTGTCCAGTTCACTACAAAGTTTACAAAGTCCCCAAACCAAGCTATACAATGGAACCTCTGAAGCATATACTACAACAGAAATGCAGAGACAGGTCGAGCATAACGGCTCATACTTGCAATCCCAACACTCAAGGCTGCAGCAAGATGTTCTTGAGTTCCAGGCCAGCCTGAGATACAGTGTCACAAATAAACAATGAAAGATGGTGGCATACACTGGGCATTATGGTATATACATTTAACTCCAGCACTCGGGAGGCATGGGTAAGCCAGACTGGTCTATATAGTGAGTTCCACAACAGCAGAGCTATCTAGAGACACTGTCTCAAGAGGGGTGGGGGAGAGGGTGGGGCAGAGATTGTGACATGAAGAATAAAATGGAAAAAATAGTGTAAGATATAAGAGAAGATGCTGTGGGCATTATTAGGGGCCTCTAAAGCCAAGAATTACCCCCTGCACTCTCTCAACAGAGGCTTTACAAAGTACACAAGTTTAGACACAGGAAGCCTCCAGCAGACAATCCTGCATCTCCAGCACTGTACCCTCTCTTTTCCCCACCACAGGAGACAGACAAGGGACACACTGAAAAAGAGGACAAGCTCTTACCTGCTCAGGGCGGTCAGGCTCCCCTGCTGCTTGCTGTGAGTAGAATGAAGAGCTGGCAATTGGAAGGTACAGGAGGGCCCATGCTGGCTCCAAATGGACAGCACTCGGCCCACTGAGTAGGGCAGAGAGCAGAAGACCTTGTCTGCTACAGAGGCTGGAGACCTTAACCCTTGTAAGCCCTGTGTAAACTGGGTCAGGAAGAACCTCTGCATGGCAGCCATGTGATTGGAGGAGCTCCGTTTTTTGGTCCAGATCCGGTAACATCCTGGTGAACAAAGTGCTAGAAGGGTGTGAAGGCCAAGGACAGAGCAGTCTGCTCTGGTCTGTACTATGGCAGTGCCTCCATAGTCTCGGAGAGGAGCTGTCGTCTGTGGAGGAGCCTGAGTGCGTGTCTGACTAGAGAAGCCAGTGTCTTCCCTGAATGTGGCCATCCCAGGGCATCCGTGGGACATGAAAAAAGAAAAGGTCCACTTGGGAGGTGGAGATGAGCACTGGGAGGTCTCAGCTAAGGCAAGCCTCGATGGAGCACAGTGCTCAGGAAAAGTCCTGGATGACTCGACTGTGCAACTGGATGCTGATTTCACATGAAAGGAAAATGGGAAGATTTCAGTACCAAACAGCAGTGATGGCATCTTGTTGCTCAAATCTATGAAGCTCATTTTGACAGCTTCAAGAGAATAAAGTGCCAAGGGCTTACTGTTAGACCTCCTATCCCATCCAGTAGCTGCCAAATATGGGTCCAGCTGCATTGCATTATATGAAAATCCATCTAGGAGCTTTTTATATCTGAGGCGCTTGTAGCTTTTAGCCAATGGAACAAGGGAAGAGGAATACCGCCGGTATCTGAGTTTCTGGGGCTTTGTGGCCAGAACCAGTTTGGAGGCAAGGATAGACAGCTTGTTTAGTAAGGCTGATTCTTTGGTAGGCTTCCTATAACTCAGGCTCAAGGGATGGCACAGAGTAGCCTTCAGCTTTGGTATGTGGCTACGCAAGCTCTTGCTAGGTACTGCTTCAGGTTCCAGTGGTGCGGCAGGCACAGCACAAGGGCTAAGAAGTCTGTGTGCTTTTGTGGGGTTGGGGTTAGAGGAACTCTTCCCACAATCAGAATTTCCCACTTTACTTATTTTCCTCCGCACAGTGACTGGCTCCAGGCAGGAACTTCTCTTACATGTTCGATGAGGCTGCTTCTTTACAGGAAGCAATCTTTGCTGATATGACAGCGTCACAAAGGCACCGTGTATTTGATCACCTCCAGCAGAGCTGGGATCATGTTCTTTCCAGGAGGTACCAGGAAGCCGAGGACCTGAGCATAATTCAATGTCTTTCTTTAACAGATGACATAAGTTTTCCTGTTTTGGGTCTTCCAACCTCTGAAGCTGTCTAGCCATTTTCTTCTTGGTTGGCCTTCTTAGGGTAACTTCTTCCATTATGATGGACTCATCTTGGTCAGCCACAGGTTGCTTCTTATTCTGCTTCTCATCTGACAACATGTTCAATGACATGTGTTGTTCTAACAGTGCATGCATGTCCTTTTGATATACATGTTTTTCCTTTGGCAAGGTATAGTCCACAACTCTCTGGTTTTGTGGGTTTTCAGCAATATCTTGCACTCTCTGGCATTTCAAGTGGGTCTGAGAACTCTTAGGAAAATTAATATTATGACCTTCTCTGGTAAAGGTCTCCTCGGACTCTTCCCCAACAGGTAGGTGACCCAGAGGCCCCTTCTGACATTCTTCAGTTTCTTCTTTACTCATTTTCATTGCTGTTTCCATTATCAAAGGCAAATATTTATCTGTAGAATTCTCACGAGAATGACAAGCTCTGCAAACATTTCTGTCCACACTGATGTACGTGCCATCTCCTTCACTAGCGTTACTTACATCAGCTGGTAATCCTTCCTTCACGTCAGACTGGACTGTGCAGTCTTTGACATTTTCATGAAGCATTTTACCATCTTTGGGCTTAAAGAGATGTTTCAATTTAGGTGTTTTACCACGAACACCAGCTGGTAAATGTTCTTGAGAAGACGGACGAGACCTGTCATCAGAGTCTTGGCATCTAGAAGACATCGGGCCTTTTGAGGCTAATCCAAAGGTTTTCTCACCAAACTCAGAATTGGCTCCTAGTCTCAGTCCTTCTGTCACAGATCCTCCTTTACCTCGATGCTCACAATGAATATGATTTAAAGACACACCTCCTCTATCTAGTGCTCTTACATTTGGCTCATGATCGGCAACAGATTCTACTTCATGATAAATGGCAGAGTCTAGACACTCTTCCATTTCACAGTCTTTTAGAGACCTGCACACGTTTTCTTCATGTGACTTTAGTATTTCAGGAGAGTCTACTATAGAAGCAGCAGCATTTGAGAGTTTTGAGTCTTGGTCAGTTGTACCTATAAATACAACATTCAATTTTCCTTGAAGAGATGAGGTACTCCTTAAGGTCTCACGGTATGCCAGTTTATTTCGCCCTGTAGAATGACCAACTAGACTAGATGCTTCCACACCCACAACACCCTCTGTAGGCTCACCTGTGCAGTCTGGACACACCACCACATCTAGCACACTGTGTGTCAACTCTTCGGTACCAGGGCTACTTTCAAAGGCTCCTTTGGGATCTTTTTTGTCTAAACTACCACAAAACGCAGGGTTTTTACTGCCTGAACTGACTATCAAATCCTTTTCCTTGCAGCTTCCTTCAGGGATAGTCTCTCGATGGTCACCGTTGAGTCCTTCCCAAGGTTTACCTTCACTTCTGCATTTGTCTGGACTATTTTTGTTACCCTGACAGTCAGAAACTTCATCTGCTTTCTGGTCAAGAGTTCCAGCTGCTTGGTACATGGTTTTAAAATGAGATGAAATAACAGTCAAGGACTGGTCCACTAATGTGTCAGGACTTGGAATGTTTGTAGACTGGTTTAGTTCTTGTGTATCACAAGCAGAGGTACTGTGCGTATAAACTGCTGTGTCTCTGTGTTTATCCCGTTTCTTTCCACCCAGTCCTTCCTCACTGGTTTCCACATTACTGCTATTGTGAGTGGTTGTGGTTAAAGCTCCACTATCCAACGTCATTTCATTTCTAACCTTACCTCCTAGAATGCTGCTTGGAGTCTCCCTCCCAGCAAGTTCACTCTCCAAGAAGGTGCTACTTTCCACAAAGTCTTTTGGTCTTTGGAAGCAATGACTGCTAGACTGACATGCATTCCCACAGTTTATTTTATAGTTGCTGACTTTCAGGATATCTTTTCTGGGTCCAAGGGCAGCACAAGCAGAGCACACATTCTTTTCAGATGTATTTATCCTTATGCAGCGACAGCCGGAAACATCCTGAGACTGAACATTTTGACATTCTGTGTCAAAGGAATAGCCAGCTGCCTCTTTCTCACTTGAGAGGACCATGGAATGTAGATCTTTAATACTCGAATCAGCCATTTCTTTTTGCCCTTCTGGGCTTCTGATTTTGATATTTAAGGTGTGTATGTATGAAGAGGCACCACAGGTTTTATCACCTTGTGGGGACATGGCTTCCAATTTTGTCTCAGCAGGAATGGTTTGAGTATTTGTGGTAACATCTGTTCCATTCTTTATAGAATGATGGCTTGGCTGAGCATCTCTGCATGTTGCTGAAGGCATCTCTCTGTTTAGATTTAGTAGAGAGTCAGTTGGTAATGTTACATGCTCTTGAGAATTAAGGGACACTTGTTGATTTAAAACACATTCATGTTCTATTTTGTGTACAACCAGTTCACTGTTACAAGAAAGTTCACTCTTCTCACAGGCAGTGATGGGCTCGTCTAAATGTGAAATGTTGTCATGTGAGGCCTGTACATGCTTTTCTGAAGCAGATCCACAATCAAACTCTGGACATGGTGGTAATTTTGCAGTACCCTTCTTAGGTTTTGATATGTCATTGTGTTCAGAACTTACTGGATTTGCAGGCATCATATTCTGAAGGGATTTTTTTCCAGACAGAAAATCACTGCATGATACTTTATTTGGCAGAGAATCATCCAGACTTCCCTGGATGCTGACTACAGACTTAGAGTCTATACTGTAAATCTTTTCATTTACTGCACTGGACTTTACTGTTGTTTGCTCTGGCTCTTCAATATGCATCAACAAGGAAAAACTGCTTTCCTCAGAGTGTATCTCAGGATGGTTCACATCAGTGACAGTTTTTCTATGGTCCTTGGAGCTTACCAAACTACCTTGAATGTTTAAAGTAGTTTTCAGATCATTTTCTTTAAACATTATTTCTGTGGCTTCAGTAAAAGAATTAGGCATAGAATTACAGTTCTCTATACAGGAAGTAGCCTGAGTGCTACAGTTGCTATGGTTACTGGACTCCACAGCCTGTTTTTCACCAGAACCATCCTGTTCTTGTCTGACATGGAAGAGAAAGAGGCCTCCTTTTTCACTCCTGGGCCTCCAGTACTGTTCTTTACTTTCTTCTCCACAAGTGAAGTTCTTGCTTTGTTCAACCTTGTGTAGTTTTTCATCAGATTCCTTTACTAAACCATTGTCTTCAAAATGACATTTTTCTATGGATTTTGGGCCAGACAAATATGATGTGAGATATAACATTTTAGAATTTTCTTCTGAGGGTTTTATAGAGACTTTGCTTCCTGTAATGGTGGAATGATCATGTGCAGAACTGGGCTTTTCCTTATAGTGGCTGAGAATCTGTTGGTGGCCATCTTCTGCTTCACTGATAAGGTTTAAGTCACACAACTCTTCCTTCACTTTGCTCATTGTGGAAATGGCACAATTCCCTGGTAATGACAACCAAAAAGGACAATTAGTAATTCCCCACATGGTTTTCTTTAAGAGCTGCTTTTTAAATTCAGGGTCCACAAGATTGAAGGTTCTAGGGTAACAAAAGCTCACTGAGGGTCATGAGTTTCTCTACTCCTGGTGGTCCCTGCCCCCAGCTGACAGGTGTTGACTCACAGCGCCACCCTTGTGCCCTTCATTATTGTCCCTGAGTCCCACTGGCTTTCATACCTTTTATATCTTCAATGGGCTCTGGCAGAGTTCCAGTTGTATTGTGTACATTTCCTTTTACAGAAAAGAAAGAAACTCAAATCAGTATTTAAAAAATAAAAAAGCTGTTCCACCTAAGTGAATTTTAGCATGCATCCAACAACAACAGAGGACTCAGTTCAAAAAGATAATGAAAAAGCTTAGTAAGCCATACCAGTATTTTGTTTCTTTGCAAACTATGATAAAGAGACAAAAAAAAAAAAAAGCAATTTTGAAAAATAAACACAAGAAACCTCAGTATGTTATTTGGCATTCACAGATGGCACCAGATAACTGAGTAGAAACACAAAGAAAATGTGAGCTTGATTCAGTCTTAACAAGTTGCCATTTTCAGGCAGATCTCTTGTCTGAAGAGTTAGTTTGAGACAGACAGAATAGAGAATCCATGTCTTGAAAAACAATTAAAAAAAAAAAAAAGTTGCCATTTTAAAACACAACTAGGAGGCCCTACTGGTTCCAATTTGTAACACCAGCTACTCAGGGCCTGAGGCCCCGAGGACAGCAAGATCACAGAATGTCAGAGCTACAAAGTGTGTCCCAGGTCAGTACAGGCACCTCAAAATAAAAGATGAAAAGAGGCCTGGAAAGATGGCTCAGCCATTAAGAACACTGGATGCTCTTCCAGAGGTTCAATTCCCAGCACACACATGGCAGCTGACAACTGTCTGTAACTCCAGTTCCAAGTGATCCAACACCCTCACGTAGACATACATGCAGGTAAAATACCTATGCACATAAATAAAAGTGTACAGCCATGTGGTAGTGGTGAATGCCTTTAATCCCAGCACTCTGGGAGGCAGAAGCTCTCTGTGAGTTCAAGGCCAGCCTGGTTTAGAGCAAGTTCCAGGTCAGCCTAAGAATATTCGTAGAAACCCTGTCTCAAAAAACTGGGAGGAGAGGGGAGACACATGACAAAACCCTGAAAAGAGGGCGAGTACTAAAGCTCAATGGTAGAGCACTTGCCTAGCAAATACAAGGTCCTGAAATCAATGCCAGGTATTGTGAGACCCATCCACCCACCCACCCACCCACCCATCCATCCATCCATCCACCCATCCCTGTAAACTATCATTACAACATTCTTATTATTCAATGATCATTTTATTACCTGAAACTAGATATATTATAGTTAAAATAACTCTTTGAAAAGGAACAGTCAGAGCTGGGACTGCAGCTCAATAGTAGAGCCTACTTCTAGCATTAGTGAAATCACAGGTTCAATCCCCAGCACTGCCAAAAACAAGTAAGAAAAAAGAAAAAGAACAATTATGTGTAGAACTTTATATAAGATTAATTTGTAAGCTGAATGGTCCTAAATCCATGACTTGTAATCATTGCCTTTCTGAGCCAGGTGGTGGTGGTGCATGCCTTGAAGGTGGATCTCTTGAGTTCCAGGACAGCCAGAGCTACAAAGGGAAACCTTGTCTCAAAAAACAAACAACCCAGTTGTCTTTCTTTAAGACTGGGCTGATCATTACTGAAGCTGAGTAATAGGAACAAGGAAGTTTAGTTCATTCCTTTCAGTTTAGAGTTAGTATGAAGACTGCTGTCATGAAACTAATAAAGCAAGCAAATAAACAACAAAAAACTCCCTTTTGTATGAATGTAAACACAACCACAGACACACCTGTGATGCCCGGAAGGAGGGAAACAGGAAGCCACCACAAATTCAAGGTCAGCCAGAACGCTGAAGCTCTTCAATTCTACGGTACTTGCTTCTCTGAGCCTCAGTTTCTTTTTTTGTAGAAAGCATAATAAGTACATTTACCTCAGTTCTGTATAGAGGATTAACTATCCCGCGCAAACACAGCCTGGAACAGTGCTTGCATTATTAGGAGAGCTGCCTGTCTTTTCTCTTTGACTCTTTAACTGGATATGAAAACAGTTAAAATGGTAGCTAGGTGTACAACACCATTTAAAAAGTATTTGGAATATGGACTGCAGGTAAAACAGTGATACAAGGCTTGCCTGGCAGGTACAAGGCTAGCATCACCTTACAGAGGTTGGGGAAGTAACAAGTTTGTTACTTGTATACTAACAATCGAACCCAGAACTGCACACACAATTAGCTCTGCTACACTCCCAGACATCTACAATAGGTAGAGGCAGCAAGTACTGGATGTCAACAGTTAGCATAAATATCAATTACTTACTAAAGGCCACCTCCAATTCCCCAAATAGTACTGAGCACTGTGAAATAATCTAATTTTCTATCATCCCAAACAACAATCTACCCATGAATTTCTCAGCCTGAGTACTCTTAATACTTTTATTTAATCTTTCTATGGGATGCTATACTAAACATTGTCATGTTTAGTATCATGGTAGCTCATTACATCTGTACAGGAATAATGAGAAATTCTTCATCCAACTCCAAATTGATAACTGTGATTTTCCTCTGTGCAAGGCAGTGCAGTGCAGATTTGGTGCAACACAGCCATGCTCCATTTAATCAAGAATCCTAGGGAGATGGCAGGGGAGCAGCTACTTTCAAGCAGCTATGGCAGAAAGTGGATGAGGAAAGGTTTGTGCATAGCAGGAAAGCAAAATGATACTCTGACCAAAAACAAATAAGATGATTTGTTTTTATGTGCATACATTCTGAAATTTCAGAAGACTTTGAAGCAAAATTTAAGGCAACATTTTTGTAGCATTTATTTATTTGTTTATTTGGTATAGGTTAGTGTTTTGCCTCAATGTTAGTATGCACACCTTGAGGACTGAGAAGGCCAGAATCATGGAATCCTCTAGAACTGGAGTTGCAGATGGTTATTAGCCATTGTGTAGGTGCTAGGAACTAAACCCGAGTCCTCTACAAAGAGTAATCAGTGCTCCTGATCACTGAGCCATCTTTATTTTTTAAATAAAGCCCTAAACTTTATTTTTTAAAGAGTTTAAAGTATGAAAAAGGAAGAGAGTAACTTTACAGTGAGGCAAAACTAACCAATACTAATGCAAGTTGACAGCCTGAGTCCTTCCTTGATATATTAAAAATTACACTTCTTAAAAAGATATGTTCTCACCAACGCTTAAACTGAGCTCAGAATCCTCGTGTCTCAATATCCAAGGGCTGAGACTATAGAAATAACACAGTGCCCCTCTGAAAGTAACTGTTACTGATGGGATCTTTCACTTCTAAACCCACAGTCTATGTCTGCACTTTCTAAAATCATCCCCAAACATCAAAACACAGCAATGAGACACTGTCACAAACTAGACAATCACAAAATAACAAGAGGATTAAATAGGATCCTCAAACAGAAAAAGTATGAAGTACAATAATTGGAATAAAGTGTGGACTTGGGTTAATAATCATGTCAACATTGGCACTAAAAATGCAGTGCCTTAACGCAAGATCTTGATTAATAACAACCTCTTATTCATCTTGCTGCTGTGACAAATGCCTGACACAGACAACTGAAGGAAGTGTATTTTGGCTCACAGTTCCATCATGGTGGGAAGGGAACATGTGGCGGGGGAGAAGGGGGAAATGGCTGCTCAAACTGAATCTAGTCAAGAAGCAGCTCATGGTAAATGCTTACTCAGCCTTACACTTTCTCCTTTTATTCAGATCTGGACTCCACCCTAAGAATGAAAGTGACCACAAGTAGAGTGGGTCTTCCTGCTTCAATTAACATAGTTTAGAAAATTCCTCATGGGAATACCCATAGACTTGTTTCCATGGTGATTTTAAATCCCATAAAATTAAACTATCAAAGTTATCTGTTTTATTTACTTTTCTATTGCTGATGAGACACCATGATCAAGACAACATATAGAAGAGTTTATTGGGCTCACAATTTCAGAGGGTGAGTCCATAGCATAATGGCTGGCAGCTCAGTGACAGCAGGCAGGGTGCGAAAGCAGCAGCTGAGAGCTTACACCCTTATCTACCAGTAGGAGGCAGAGACTGGACTAACTGGGAATGGCCTATGCTTTTGAAACCTCAAAGCCCACCTTCGGTGACACGCCTCTTCTGCCAGTCACATCTAATGCTTCCCAAACAGTTCCACTAAGTAGGAACCAAGCGTTCAAATAGATGGGCCTACAGGGCAACTCTCATTCAAATCACCACACTACCACACTATCCATGTACACATGGATGGGGACATGGACATACTGTACAACAGGCTCAACTCTGTGAATCTAAAATTCTTCAGCACCAATTCAAAAAATAAGTATTCAACAGGCAGTGGTGGCACACACCTTTAATCCCAGCACTCGGAAGGCAGAGGCAGGTGAATCTCTGTGAGTCCAAGGCCAGCCTGGTCTAGAGTGAGCTCTAGGTCCACCTGGGCTACACTCAGAAACCCCATCTTGAACACCCTCCACAAAAAAGCATTCTACAAAAGAAATGTAATTGGAAACTAAATATATAAAAATACCAGAGATGGCTCAGCAGTTAAGAGCACTCACTGGCTGCTACCACAGGACCCAGGTTCAGTTCCCAACACCAACAGGACATCTCACAACTATCTGCAACTCTAGTTCCAGGGAATCTGAAACTGTCTTCTGGACTCTCTGGCACCAGGCATACATGTAGGCAAAATACTCATTCACAGTTAAAAAACAAAACAAAACCCCACAATACCATTGGTCATTAGAGAATACAGAACCACAACAGGCCAGGAATGGTGGCATGTGCCTTTAATTCCAGGACTTAGGAGGTACAGGCAGGAGAAGGCCAGTCTGATCTACATGGTGTTCTAGGAGCCAGTAAGATGACTCAGCAGGCTAAGGCACTTGTCACCAGAGTTCCACCTCTGGGACCCACCTGGTGGAAGGAGAGAGCAAGTGCAGGCTGTCCTCTGGCTTTCATTTGCATGGATGGGTACAACCACCTATCCATACAGTTTGAAAACTGAGGCTGGGACTCACCGTATAGCCCTGACTGGACTGGAACCTGCTTATATACACCAGGCCTAATCTATAAAGTGAAACTTAGTTTTTTTTTTTTTTTTTTTAAAGGGGGGGGGGGAAGGTACACTGAGATGTTACTTCATGCTAGAATTAAGAAACCTCTCCACATCTCAAACAACAAAAACCAATTTAGGATAAATTATAACCTTTCTATATTGTTGGTATTAATGGAAAAATGGACTGAGACCTTATAAAAGAAAGAAACAACAAACACTTAAGCCAAATGAGAGAATTTGGTCACAAAAGAGCACATATAGTAAATACCTTATATACACTATAAACGAATTTAGAATGCTGAAAAGTACACTAAGTATGGGAGACCAAGGAGTTGGTTACAAGATCACTTTAGAAGAGGCTACTGTTATAAGACTTTTAAAAGCCATGAAAATTAGCCAGGGCATTGGTGGCACATGCCTTTAATCCCAGCACTCAGAAGGAAGACTCAGGCAGATCTCTGAGTTTGAGGCCAGCCTGGTCTACTGAGAGAGACAGGATCCAAAGCTACAGAGAAACCTGTCTTGAAAAACCAAAAAAAAGAAAAGAAAAGAAAAAAGGCATCTTTTTCATTAAGTGGTTATGGTAGTAGCTGGCTTCTGCAGATTTTAACCCCCTAAGAACATAAATTGCAAGACAAGGGAGCCAATGAAAGGCTCAGCAACTAAAGGCACTTTCCCTAGCCTGACAACATAAGTTCAATTTTCAAGACTCACATGGAAAAACAAAACCAAAACCTGTCCTTTGACCCCACACATGTACTGTATTATGCTATTACATATTGCACCTCTTCCAATTAAAAAATAAAAGCCAGGCAGTGGTGGCACACACCTATAATCCTAGCACTCAGGAGGAAAAGACAGGCAGATCTCTGTGAGTTCAAGGCCAGCCTGATTTACAAAATGAGTTCTAAGATAGCCAGGGCTGTTACACAGAGAAACTCTGTCTTTAAAAAAAATAATAAAATTAAATTAAATTAAAAAGGACAAAAACACAGAGAGTACACCTTCTTTTAAAAAGGAATATTCAAGTTATTAAAAAAAAAATGAGCCAAGCAGTGGTGGTGCCAGCCTTTAATCCAAGAGGCACAGACAGGTGGATCTGAGTTTGATGCCAGCCTTGTCTATAGAGTAAGTTCCAGGACAAGAACAGCCAGGGCTACAGAGAAACCCTGTCTTGAAAAACAGGAGAAAAAAAAAAAAAAAAAAAAAAAAAATCCATGAGCTCTTAAGAATTTAAACCAGGTGCGATAGCACATACCTGTAATCCTAGTACTTGAAGAGTCAAAGGATCAGGAGTTCAAGGCCAAGTATGTTCAAGTATGTTATGACTACATAACAGGATCAAGGATGCCCTGGATACATGAAAACTGCCTCAAACAAAAACAAGCAAGCAAAGAGCTGGACCAGTTGTCTCACACATTTATAGTACTCAGTAGGCAGAGGCAGGAGGATCTCTGTGAGTTTGAGGCCAGCTTGCTCTACACAGGTAAGTTCAAAGCCAGCCAAGACTATATAGAATCTGTTTCAACAAACATCCCTCAGATTAGCATAGAGGGAGGTTACCAGTCTGAATGTATCTCACAGGGCAGGCTCCCTTGTGAAACAGTCCTTCTACTACTTCTTTTCCCCCTCTATGAGCACTTCTCATGAGCCTCCCCTCCCCCTCGGGTAAGTTTCCTAGTTCTGAAATGTCCCCAGTAGGTTTCTATGTTGAAACATTCAGCCCAGCCAAGAGCAGGGCACTGAGAGTTGTGGAGACTTTGGGACATGGGGTCTTACTTGGGTGTGGGGGAGGTCTACATGGAGAGTTCTATGACAGCCAGGACTACATAGTGAGACCCTGACAAAAGATGGGCAGGGCTGGGGTTACCGGGAGGTGTAAACAAAAAGTCCTAAAAGAAAACATGCCTGCACAGAGCTCTGAGTTTGAGGCCAGCCTGGTCTACAGAGCCAGTTAACAGCCAAGGCCATACAGAAACCTTATACTTAAAAAGAGAAACCTTGTACTTAAAAAATAAGAAGGAAGAGGAGGCAGCTGTGCCAGTAGACCCACTGTGAAAAGCCTGGAAAGTTACAGGTCCAGAAGCTTAGCTTGAGCTAGCTTCTGGTCCCAGAGATCAACCACATATTCTGCTTATCAAATGTCAGGTCATGATCTGATCTCAGAACCAGGAGATTAAAGTGGAAAAAACAACCACAAGCCTCCACCACAGCCTTAACAGACCTGGGTAAGCACAGAGCCACACTCTATCCCCTCCCCTCCACCCCACCCCCACTCCTGTGCCCTCTCTCTCCTCAGATAAGCTTCCAGACCAGTTTCTATCCTTATTCTTCCATTTCTTACTTCATTCACCCCTCCCCATCTGAACCACAACAACCAGCAAAACAAAACCCAACCTGGTAAAAATGGTAAGTGTACACTGGCCATCCCCCAGAAGAAAACGAAACTCTTTCTTAATAAACTCAATCTGGCAGGGTGGTGGCGCACGCCTTTAGTCCCAGCACCCAGGAGGCAGAGGCAGGCGGATTTCTGTGAGTTCGAGGCCAGCCTGGTCTACAGAGAGTGTCCCAGGACAGACTCCAAAAGCTACAGAGAAATCCTGTCTCAAAAAACCAAAACTAAATAAATACACCCCAATTTGGGGGGCTGGAAACATGGCTCAGAGATTAAGAGTAGTTACTGTTCTTCCAAAAGTCCCTGATTGGGTATCCAGCACCCACATGGTGGCTCACAACTGCCTTTAACTCTTTAATTCCAGTGGATCTGACACCCTCTTCTGGCCTTCAATGGCTTTTGCACATGTGGTATACACTTACTTAAGCAAGCTGACACATACACATAAATAAGTGAATCCTTAAAAAAATAAAAATCTTCCCAAGTGTGACAGAGGCAGGTGGATACATATGAGTTCCACGCTAGCCAGGACTACATAGGGAGACATTGTCTAAGAAAACAAAACAACAACAAAAAAAGGATCATACCTTTGTTCTTCAGCAGATCTCCAGAGAGGTCTGCACATACAGGTTCTTTGCTGGATTGTGTCAGAAGGACATCCTGCAACAAGAAAGCCCAACAGTCAATGGATGATGCAGAGGTACCTGAGCTCACAAACACCAGTTATTACTTCAGGCCTCAGGGCAACCCCAGGTAATCTGCCACTAGCCACAAGAATTGAGATCTGAAGGAAAGCTTGTTTATGTTAATAAATAAAGAATACTGCCTCTCTAGAATATGAGCTTGAAGCAAATACAAACAAAGCTCTATTAATGCTTGCTTTTTTTTTTTTTTTTTTTTTTTTTTTTTGAGGTAGGGGTCACCATGTAAAACAGGTAGGACTCAAGGACTCAAACAGCTATAATCCTCCTGCCTCAGCCTCTTGAGTAGTGGGACAGCAGGTGTGCGCATGCCTAGCTCCTAAGTGCCTTCTGAAAACAAGAAATAAGTTGGGGGTACAGGTGCACTTAGCACAATGCCAGCTTAAGCAGGTACATGACAAGTCATGGGTGTCCTTTTTGCTTCCAAGGTTTCTCTGGCCTCCCCTGCTAAGGCATGCAGCTCATGCAAAGTTTAATGAGGGGGTTGAAAAGAACAAGGTTAGAAAGAGGAGGAGCCAGCCAGATCTCAGGAACTGTAGCTGCTGGAAAACTCTTAAAAGACATTTGCAAACCAATGGAAAAATTGGGAGGTTAATGGCTGAATTGTGACTTTAAATGCCAGCTCTGCAGAGGCAGATAAACCTCTGTCAGTTCAAAGCCAGTACCGACTACATAACAAGTTCCAGACAATAAGATGACATAGTCAAACCTTGCCAAAAAAAAAAAAAGTTCCTCACTCTTATAATTGAGGCTTGCTTTTAGTTTCAAATTTTTGTTCTATCTTTTCATTTTTATGTAAGTCACAAATTACTTTTTAAAAAAGTTTTTGAATTTTTTTTCTTTTTTAATTAAAAAAAAAATGTATGGAAGTTTGCCTGTTTGCCCTTATGTAGTGCCCTTGGATGCCAGCAGCAGCATCAGATCTCCAAGGACTACAGTTATAATCAGTTACAAGCTGCCATGTGGGTGCTGAGAATTGAACTAGGGGCCTCTGAAAGAACAATCAGTATTAATCACTGAGCCATTTGCTCAGCCCCCAGTTTGTTTCTGTGTTTAATTTATGTGTATGAATGTTTTGCCTGTACAAAGGTACAACATATGTGTTCCTGGTACCTGCAAAGGTCAGAAGAGGGTGTCAAGTTCCTGGAATGCAGTTATAGATGGTTGTGACCACATGGGTGCTGAGAATCAAACCCAGATCCAAGATTAACAAGAAGGAAGCAGGGAGGGAGGGAGGGAAGGAGGGAAGAAGGCAGGCAGGCAGGCTGACTCCTGGACGTGGCTCTGGTGGCCCATATTTTTAATCCCAGCGCTGTAGAGGCTGAGGCAGAAAAACCACAGATGTTAAGAGGCCAGCCTCTGGATTACTGAGCTGAGACTTCTGGAAAAGACAAATAGTGCTGGAGATGCAGCTTGGTTGGTATAGTGTCTAACTAGCAGGCACAAAGCCCTGGATTCATCTGCCAACACAAATGAATGAAAAGTTTTTTTTATCATCAGATGAATCTTCCAGTTTCTTACACCTTTATATGCAGAGAGGAACTTTTACAGGAATTTTCCTCTCCATCTCAATTCAGAAAAAATGCAGCTTTAAGTAAAGCACTGATTGTGAAGTCACAGAAAATTTTTACACCTCAGCAAATGCTCTAGATAGTTCTCTGCTGCATGAATTCAGAGCCACACCAAACGAGGGGATAGCAGTGGCCTGGATAGCAGTGGCCTGTAGACCCAAGAACAGCCTATCAACATAAATTCTGCCTTGAGGCAGTTAAAGACTTCTACCTTTATAAAAACTGTTTTTTCCCACTGTGTGTGAGCGAACCTGTGGGTATGCATGGGTATAGGTGGAGGCCAGATGTTGACCTTTGGTGCTGTTCCTCATAGGCCACCCACCTCAATGTTTTCTTTCCTCTATTATTATTATTATTATTATTATTATTATTATTATTATTGGTGTGATGGTGGAGAGGCCGTGTGACTGTGCACATGTGGAAGTCAGAGAACAATTTTTGTGGAATTGGTTCTCTCCTATCTTTTCAGGGGTTCTCGATATCAAACTCAGGTCTTCTGGCTTATAACTTTTAAACATCTTTACCTTCAGAGTCTTCTCAACCAACCCTCAGCTTGTTTTTGATAAGGAAAGGTTAGACTGGTCAGTCCCAGAGACCTTCCAGATTACAAGTGTGCCATCACTCTTGGCTTCTTACATGGGTGCTAGGGATCAAACTCAGGTCCTCATGCTTGCATAGCAAGCATTTACTGACGGAGATGTCTCTTCAGCTGCCAAGAGTTCTTATTTTAAGTCACTGAAATTTTATTTATTTCCAATACAAAATCCTTTTCTATGCTGGTTGGTGGGTGGTGGCACACATCTTTAATCCCAGTGCTTGGGAGGCAGAGGCAGATGGATCTCTGAATTTGAGGTCAGCCTGATCTACAGATGGGACAGCCAGGACTACAGGAAACTGTCTAGAAAAACCTCAAATAAATAAATAAATAAATAAATAAATAAATAAAGGAAGGAAGGAAGGAAGGAAGAAAGATTAAGAAAAAATGCAAAATTATAGTACTAAGCAGATAGTTCAGTAGTCAAGAGCACTTGTTGCTCTTGCAGAGGACCTGGGTCTGGCCCCCAGTACCCAAATGGTGGCTCACAACTATCAGTAACTCTGGTTCTAAGATCTGAAGCCCTCTTCTGACCTCCACAGGTACCAGGCACACACATAGTGCACATATATATACATAGGGAAAATATTCATACACATAAATTTAAAAATAAGTCTTAAAAACTTTTTGTGTGCAGGGTTTAGGCCCTATGGACTTTTCCTTATCTACTACACATAAAAGAGGTAACTGAGGAAAGCTGGGAGCAGGAAAGGTGATCTTCCTCAGGGAAGAGGACACCAGCTGGTTGTCCATCATCAAATAGTCAGCCCTGAAAATACACATACAAGTAACATTATACAGACTTAGCAGGTTATATCTAGGGACATAAACATACACATACATATATGCATGCAATAACAATCCTGAGAACTGGGATTAAAGTCGTGTGCCACCACCACTAACCAGTACAACCTTCCTTTTTGAGCAGGGTCTACCACTGAGCCTGGAACTCATAGATTTGGCTCAGCTGGCTAGCCAACAAACTCCAAGGATCTGCCCTATCTGCTGCTGTGCCTGGCTTTTTTATGTGGGTGTTGGGGATCTGAACTTGGTATGGCAGATGCTTCACCAATTAAGCCATCTCCCCAGCTCTTAAACATAATTATCTAACATCATATGTAGAAATACATTATTTTGAGGGGCTGGAGAGATGGCTCAGCAGTTAAGAGCACTGACTGCTCTTCCAGAGCAACTGGGTTCAACTTCCAGCACCCACATGGCAGCTCACAACTGTAATTCCAAGATCTGACACCCTCATACAGACATACATGCAGGCAAAACACCAATGCACATAAAATAAAAATAAATCTAAAAAACATTATCTTTAGATACTCAATAATAGTACAATAGTAAGAGCACAGCAGGGACTTACACCAAAAAAATATCAAAATTAATATTTTTAAAATGTTCCTAGACTAAATCACAGGCTCTGTGTCAGCACCTATAATTTATCATGACAAGTGTTGCTCTGCAGTGTCATCATTCACATTCAACTTATGTCCATCAAGCCTCCTCTCTTACCTGACTGGGGCAGATCTTTTCTTTAGAAGATGTGCAATGCTGGCACGGATCCTCCTTTGCTGCCTCACAGGGGTCTCTGAAAACTTCGGCCCGGTCTCCTTCATCTCTGAAGGCCTTTGGATCCATGCTTTTGGTTCTCTCTTCTCTATCCAAGATCTCAAAAGCCACAGGCCCTCTTGCTGTAGGGTCCACTAGTCCGCACCACCCAGGTTTGCTCCCATAATCCAAGGCCTCAAAGGTTTCTTCACGACAGCCTTCTGCACGAGTCCTCGGCAGCTCCAGGGGTGACGCCCTACTCTGATTTACACGAGAGCTTGAGGCTCCAGATTTTACATCTGGAATCATACTGGGCTCCTTCTCAGCATGAAGCTCTTTGGAGACACTTACTGAGAGTTCAGAGTATAATTCATGTACGACAGCAGGCATGAGGGAATCAAGTGGAACTGGCTGAGTCTCTACTCCAGATGACAGCATTAGGGCAGACGGAGATTATGGAGTCAAGTCTTTTACAGCAATGGTTTACCCTGACACAAATCAAAGGAAGGGATACAAGTTTAAAACCTTGACAGGACAAAAGAACTGTTTCAGTTCACAAGGGTTAAAATATGGAAAACAGCTGGGCAGTGGTGGTACACGCCTTTAATCCCCAGCACTTGGAAGGCAGAGGCAGGCAGATGAACCTGGTCTACAGAGTAAGTTTCAGAACAGCCAGAACTGTTACACAGAGAAACCCTGTCTTAAAAAACAAAACCAAACAAAGCAAAAAAAAAAAAAAAAAAAAAAAAAAAAAAAAAGGAAAACAGATTCAACTTCAAATGCCAGCATTCTTGAATACCAAAATGTCTATGACTATTGAATTGGTGGGGGAAAGAAATCTTAATCATTAGTAGGCACGTCATTGACCTTAATTAAAATACTACCTTGTGAATACTCTGTTTAGATGTGAAGCACATAATGTATCTTAGTGGCAGAGCACTTACTCAGGGTATACAAACCCTGAGGCCAAGCCCCAGCACCACCAAAATTGAGTGTTGGGGCTCATACTTGTGATCCTATTATTCAGGAGACTGAGGCAGGAGGATAGACACAAGTGCAAGAACAGATTCAACTACAGAGTAAGTTCAAGGTTATCCTGGGCTAAGACTGAGCTCCTATCTCAAGAATATGGGGGAAAGGAGGGTTAGCAAAATGGCTAAGTGGTTAAAAGTGTGTATGTGTATATATATGTGTATACACACACACACACACACACACACACACACACACACACACACACACACTGTTCTTATAGATGACATGAGTTTCGTTCCCACTTGACTCTGCACCTATGCTGAACAGTTCAAAACTATCAGTACCTCAAGCTCCAGGGGGATCTGATGAACCCAGCATCTTTAGGAAACTATACTCATCTGCACAGAAAAATATAAATATACATACTACCAAAAAGCCAGGCTTGGTGGCAAATACCTTTAAACCACAAGGCTGAGGCAGGCAGATTTCTGTGAGTTTGAGACCAGTCTGATCTATATAAATGAGTTCCATGTCAGACACGGTTCCACAGAGAGACCCTATCTCAAAATAAATAAAACTTTTAGTTCAGGAAAAAAATTGAGTGAACCAAGGTGAGAAAAAGGCATTAATGTGCATTCAAAACCAGACCTGACATGAACTAGAAAAATAAAGGTGCTTCTCAATCTGATTTCAAGACACCTTGTTTATTGATATATCCCCGGGGTAGGCACTTGACATGTAGCAATTCCTCAGGAAGGTTCTGGGAGTTTTGTTTTTGTTTTACATCTGTGTGTATTTGTGTGTGCACAGGTGCTCATGGAGGGCACAGGACAATTTTCAGGGTTATTCTCAGCAATACTATCCACCTCCTTTGAGATAGCCTCATTGACCTAGAGCTCGACAATTAAGCTAGACTGGATGGCCAGGAAGTCCAGAATCCTCACCTCTGCACAGGGATGACACCTGGCTTTTTTTTTTTTTTTGGACAGTGTTTCACCATGTAGTCCTGGCTGTCCTGGAACTCATTCTATAAACCAGGCTGGCTTCAAACTCAGAAGACCACCTGCCTCTGTGTTGTGGGATATCTGTACACTGTGTGGTTTATTGCTGATTGGTATAATAAAAAGTTGAATGGGCAATAGATAGGCAGGAGGTATAGGTGGAACTTCCAGGTAGAGAGGAAGAAAGAGGAGGAATCTAGGCCTGTGAGAGACACCAGGAAACACAGGTCGGGTTGTAGTTGACAGAATGTAGATTAATAGAAATGGATTAATTTAAGTTAGAAGAGCTAGTTAAAAAATAAGCCTAACCTAAAGCTAAGCTTTCAAAATTAATTAGTTTCCATGTCATTATTTGGGAGCTGGCTGGCAGGACAGAGACTCATTTTACCTCTGCCTCTGGAGTCTGGGATTAAATTATATACCACCACTGCCTAGCTACATGCTAATTCTTTCTAAAAATTATTTATGTTTATTTCATTTGCATTGGTGTTTTGCCTGCATGTATATCTGTATAAGGGCACTGGATCCCCTGGAGCTGGAGTTACAGATAGTTGTAAATTGTCATGTGGGTGCTGGAAATTGAACCTGGGTCCTCTGGAAGAGCAGCTAGTGCTGTTAAGCATTGAGCCGTTTCTCCAGGCCTCCTACATGCTAATTCTTGATGCTTCTCCTACCCTAAACAAGAGAAGAGAAATTGTTCCCACTTTAAAGACTAGAAACTATGGAAAGCAGCCGGTTTACCTAGCTAAATAGTCTAGGTAGGTTGACATATAAAAGTAGACAGCCTATGTAAGACTCTTTTTTTTTTTTTTTTTTTTTTTTTGGTCTTGTAACTATTTTATTTTAACAAGCTTCCAGCATAAGTTTGGGATGAATTCAGCTTGTGGGTGGACAGACTTCACTAGGTGATACTAGGTGATGTGTCTTAGTTTCCCTCCCCCAGTTATGTTGGTAAAATACTCCAACAAGAAGCAATTTAGGAGAAAAGGCTTTTTTCAGCTCTTAGTTCAAGGTCACAGCCTATCACGGTGGGAAAGTGGAGGGCACCAGGAATGGAAGGAGGAATCTGGGCACACTGTATCTTAGTCAAAAGCAAAAAAGGATACTGCAAGTTCCAGTGTTCTGTCCTTTCCACCCAGCCCAGGGCGCAGCCCATGGAATGCTGTCACCCACATTTAGGGTTGGTCTTCTGCTATGTAAGCCTGTTGAATGTTGGGTTTACAGGCATGAACTCATCATACCTGGTTTAAGCTAAAAAATTTTAAATGAAAAGTTAAAAAGGTTTTCCAGAGGCAGAGGCAGGAGGATCTCTGTGAGTTCAACGCCACCCTGGTCTACAAAGGGAATTCCAGGACAGCAGAACTGATATACAGAGATACCCTGAAAAAAGTTTCCTGAAATTCTTGGGCCAGGGACTGGAGCTATGGCTCAGTGCTTAGAGCACTAGCTGCCTCTTCCAGAGATCCTGGATTCAGTTCCCACCACTCACAAGGTGGCTTACTATCATCCAAAGCACCAGTCCCAGGACACAAAACACCCTCTTCTGGATTCCCATGGACACTGCATATATGTGGTACAAAACAAACACCTATACACATACAAATTAAACACTTAAGTAAATGTAGAAACAAAGTTTAGGGAACATTTGCTTTTGGATGGATATGCTGGCACGCACCTTTAGCACCAACACTTAGGAGGCAGTGGAGGCAGAATTCTGAACCAGCCAGGTCTACATAACAGATTCAGAGCTATAACATGAAACCCTGTCTCAAAAACAAAATAAAAATAAAAATTGCCTAAATTGAGGGCTGGAGAAATGGCTCTGGTTATGAGAACTTGATGTTTTTGCAGAGGACCTGGATTCCAGCACCTACATACATCAGGTGGCTCACAACCATCTCTAACTCCAGCTCCAGGGAATCTAACACCTTCTGGCGTCTGAGGGCACCTGAATGCTTGTGGTGACATAAACTAATGTGGGGACACATGCATATACATTAGCGTTTTATAAATGAATACAAACTGCCTGCACCACTAAGCTCACAGTAGTAACGCTGCAATGGCCCAGCAGTTGACAATGTTTGCTGCTCCTGCAGAGGGCCTGGGCTCAGGTCCCAGAACCCATCTGCTTGCTCACAACCACATACAACTCCAGTTCCAAGGGGTCTGAACACTGTCTTCCCCCTCTGTGGGCACCTGCATACAGATGGTACATGTAAATACACTTAGCACACACATACATAAAATATGAACAACTAAAAATAAATATCTTTTTTAAAGTGTGAGACTAATTTATCCCTTTTAGAGTTAGAATCTTCCCTTTTCCTCTAGTTACTGGCTATTTTCTGAAAGTATTTGCCTATGTAAGTGGGAGCTAGCAGAAATAAGTTGAAATTGCTATTAAAATGCCAAGAAGTAGGAAATACTCAATTTTAACTATGTTTGGATTCCTCTTCCTAGTTATCACAATGCACACAAACTGGAGTAAGTACAGGAAAAAATACTGTAAGGATGGGTCACCAAGATGGCTCAGCAAATAAACTGCTTGCTTTTCAAACCAGTTGACCTGAACACAATCCCTGAAGCTCATAAGGTGAAGGAGAGACACACCTGTCAAAGCTGTCCTCTGGCCTCTACATAACTGTAGTAAACACAGGCCCACACTCATATCTATCATACATACATACAAATATAAATAAATGACACTACAAAAGCAAGTGTTATCTCTCTGTGGGAAGAGACATACCTGCAATTGCACACCTGAGCAAGCAGCACTGTGAGTTTGTGGCCAACCTGGTATACACGGCCACTCTACGTCTAAAGCAAAGCAAGTTTACAGAGACACACAGACTTCTTGGAGATAAGATCTCTTTCTCCCCTGCCTGCCAGGAAGATATGGGCATTCTCAAAAGCTAATCCATACTTTCTTCTTAAGTTTCATTTCCTCGAAGACTTCACCTTTCCTTGAAGCCTCTCTCTGCTGAGGTAAACCCAATCCTGTCTCCTTGAGCTGGGGCTGTAGCTCAGTGAAAGTGCTTGCTTAACATGCAAAACATGCAAAATCCTGGGTCACGGGATGAAAACATGGCTCCCCAGTTCAGTGAGCAGTGCTCCTCCACAGGGCCACAGTTAGGTTCCCAGCAACCACACTGAGCACATCACAACCTCATGGAACTCCAGCTCCAGGAAATCCAATTCCTCTTCTGGCCTCTAAGGATACCACACACATGTGCACGCACACACACACACACGCATACACACATAAAAGAAATAAAAAAAATGGGGTGTCCAACTCCTAGCACTGGGGAAAAAACACAACACAAAAACAAAAAGACCAACAAACTGTTCCTTTACTCATAGTCACCATTATGATTCAAAAAGTCCACTGATAGGTATTCAAATAGAAACCATGACCATAAAAACCTGGACACAAACATTCTTAGCAGAACTATTCACAGCGGACAAAAAATAGAAACAAATACAAATGAGCACTGGTAAGTGGACAAACAATA